GACCAAAGAAAGCAGTCTTAGAGCCAAGGGAGAAATCTTGAATGAGCTTGATGGATACAGATGTAGCTGCCCGGGGTTTGGCAATGTGTTTGTGAATTATTCTTTTTGCAATAAAACCTCAAGATTCCTAACTCTTATAGAGATCAAATTCATGCAATACATTGGGAACACTCACTATGGAGTGGAACCGCCTTATTTCAGAATATATGATGCTTGAGGGCTCACAATCATCTAAAGGAAAACCCTCCAGAAATAAGATGTCAACAACTGCACTTTTGTAACCCATATTGATGACGGTGAAAACCTCTTTGGCATCAATAAAACTTGAGTGATTGCCTTTTCCAATTGTCCAAAATGAGAAGCAGACCCAAACAGGCACGTTTTTGCCAAGGGGAATTACTCTTAATTATCCCTGAACCTCATTTGTTACAAGCTTAGTAAACAGCCGGAAACTCTCCTCTTTCCACATGACGCTATGCACACACGTGCTCCTGAGCACAGGCATCTGCATACATGTGCATGACATGCACACCCATGAAGACAACCGAGTAGGGCCAGGCTGACTGGTAAGATGACTATGGGACTTGCTTGGTAAACACATGGGCAGTGCACAAAGCAGATATCAACTCTGTGCCAAAAGCTTTGTCACATGAGGCCCAGTTTCTTTAACGGTCCTTCAGTCTTTGTGTTTGGATAAGTGAGGGTTTGAATTACTCAAAGTGACTTGCCTTCTAAAACCACACAGAATTATTCTTTTTGCAATAAAACCTCAAGATTCCTAAATCTCATAGAAGTAAAAAAAATAAAAAACCATGTCCCTGAGGGTTAAAATAGAAAGAGAAGGAAGTGGCAGCCAAGAACATTATTTCTAGCTCATAGGGGCCCGCCTCCCATTCTCAAAGCCGTCATGAATTGTAAAGTAGGTGAAGGGTCCAGCTTACCCCACCAAGATTAAGAACTTGAGGCCAAGGGTGGCTCCCTGGAGCCGGAGCTGTGTAGGCCTGAGGAGAGCATGTGCCTGTTCTGAACCACACCAGGATGCCATCCCCCAGGTGCTGAAATCCAAGGAGCCAAAGAAAATTGTCCAAAAACTGTGTTTTATAAGGGCAGAAGGTGAAGGGAACAAATGATGCTCCATGTCCCTGAAGGTTTTTGAGATTATTAGATTACTATTTCAAGACAGGAACATTCTGACATGATGTAGTACTTGGACTAAAAAGTGGAAGGCTGAATCAAAAACAAATTTGTTGAGCGTGGATGTTGGGGAAGCTATTTCTCTCCTCTCAACCTCACTATTTTCTTCTTCAATTGATTCATTACATCTACAAACCCTAACACTTTTACCATATGACTGCTATTACTCTCTTTGTCTTTCCAAGTCCCCTTATTGGGATCAACTGTTGGTCAAACATGTTAATGTACCGCAACGGAGACAATCACAGGCTTGGATGCCAGGCCAGCACTCACTGGTCCGCCCCCCGTTCTCTTTCTATGTCCTCACTGTGTGATGGTGTTTGGCATCCAATGAACCTACCCAAGATTCTGCCCCACTTCACTAGTACTGAGAATTTAGGCAAGGAACAACGTTCTGAGCTTGTTTTCTCATCCTATATAATAAAAGGCTAATATGCAAATCGACCGAATGGCGGAACGACTGGTTGCTATGATGCTCACTGACCACCAGGGGGCAGATGCTCAATGCAGGAGCTGCCCCCTGGTAGTCAGTGCGCTCCCATAGGGGTAGTGCTCCTCAGCCAGAAGCCAGGCTCATGGCTGGCGAGCGCAGCAGTGGTGGCGCCTCCGTGGCAGCGCTAAGGATGTCTGACTGCCAGCTTAAGCCTGCTAAGCCGGCAGTCAGACATCCCCCCGAGGGCTCCCAGACTGCAAGAGGGTGCAGGTCAGGCTGAGGGACACCCCTGAGTGCACAAATTTCATGCACCAGGCCTCTATATAAAACCCTCCAGTGAGGATTGAATAATATAGTTCATAAGATTAATGAGATGATCTGAGCAAGTCTAACCTAATCACAAGAGCTCTTTAATAGCTACGAGTTTTGTCTCTGGCTTTTCAGGGCTGTGTCAACCTATGAACTCCAAGGGGTTCATTTCACCAAACTTCACCACAAGCTCCGCATTAAAGCATGAAATGGGCCTCTGCTCACTCTAAGGAGCCAGTCGAGACGGCTTCACAGCACTCTTTCCAAATAAGCAGAAATATGGAACAGGTTAGGATACTTTTGTTTAAAATGTGACCCATTTTTAAAGATTGCCATTGTTGTCTTAAACTCACTTTCCTTCCTTTGCTTCCTGTACATAAAGAAAGTTCACACTCACACACTCTAAACACATCGCAAGACAGAATGCGCATGAGGTCACCCCACCAGGACTGTGCAGGGGAATTCCAAGTCAGACTCCATGTCTCCATTGGAAGCCAGAACCAATCTTGAGCCAGTGTCCAGCCGGCCAAGGGGCTGAGGCTCCCCGCCGCTCCCTGCCGCTCCCAGCATGCACACACATGGGTCTGAGTGATGGAGGAAACTGTGCTGGAAGAGAAGGAAGAGAAGAGAGCAACAGGAGGATGTCTGCTGATGGGCTTTCCAGATGTCAATTTAAATTGTTCTGAATTGTCTGAGATAACATTAGTCACACTGTTTTTATCTTTTTCTTATAGACTTTTCAATTCTCATAAATAAAAGGGCTTTTATGTAGTTTCCAGAGGTATAAAATTACCCCTGGAAAGAGAGAAAACATTAATGCATGTAAATAAACACATCCTGGATAATTTTTGGACTGAAGGATAATTTTTGGCCATGGATACCTTTGTTCCTCTGTGGACTCTTCTCCTTTCTACTTAAAGAATTCTTCATATTCTCTTTCTGCTTTTTTCAGCTACCTACCCATCTTTCTGGTCAAATACCACCCCTTTGGTGAATATGCTCCCTACTCTCCTTTCCTCCCAAGAAGGATTATTCATTCTCTATCAATGGCTGCATTGCTTATTTATTTGCCACCACTACAGCATTGATTATCCTCTAATTATCTGTATAATCCACACTCCTGGGGTCACTCAGCCCTTCATGAACACCTATAATGCTGACGTCATAGGAGGCTGCTGGTCCTGGAAAGAAGATGGAGCCTGGAGACCACATGACAGAGAAAGCTCCAGAGGCTGGGAAAGTGGGTTAGTCATGGTGTGGGTTGGCCAAGGCAGTGGGTGAATAAGTCTTTCTCAAGAACGCACATTCAGTGATGGGAAAGAAAGGGCAGAAGTCCTACTGGCTTTGGGGCATGCCCGTAGGGCTCTTAGGGGCATGGAGTCATATTCATTCCTGCGTCACCAGGCAGGTGTGCGCAGGAGCTAATGCCAGCCTGGTGCTCTTCAGCGATGTCTGCACAGTCCTGTCGAAGGGAGACTGTGGCTGTGAGGGGCATCCTCCTTTCTGAGGAAAGCACTGTACTGAGAGGCAGGTTTTCTGATGCTGACTTTACAAATATGCATGGCAGTGGTCTCTTCATCCAATCAGCCAACTGGCCTTTACCGAGCACCTGCTATACGTTTAGGAATAAAGTGCAAGTTCTCAAAGTCTTGGAGCTTGCAATCTTCTAAAGGAACATAAAAGAGGTCATGTCGAGAAGTTTTCTCATTGCCAAGGAGGAAAGAATGGCAAAAGCAAGTGAGATGGGATGGGAAGGAGAGGACCCCCGGTGGCAAAGCTGGGTGTTCATAGGTGATGGCAGGAGAGCAGGTCCTTCCACTCAGCCCCTGGCAGGGTCCCCCTGGTGGCAGTCCTGGGAATACTGCCGGGAAATGATCATGGGATTTTACCCGGAATGTAACCCAGTGATATGATTCAAGAGGGAGAATCAAGGCCACTTAAGTGACATTTCTACATAAAGAGTTGTCATTGAGAAGCTGTCTAGGCAGGGAGGTTCCTTAGCTGGAAACTGCTTTCCAATTCCACTAAAACACTCTCAGGTAGAAAAGAATTTCTTACTAGTGTTTGTGACACCAAAGCTGTAACGTCACTTTACCAAGATTAACGTATTAGAAAGCTTAGGGGGAAGGAGGCCCTGGGAAATTAGGGGGAAGGGGGCCAGTGTGACTCCACTTGGGGAGGAAAGAATAGACCTTTCGGAGAGAAGGTAAATGTGGAGCTAAAGCTAGAAGAATAAATATGCTTTTATCACGTAGAAAAGGATGGGGTAAGGGCAATCTTGGCAGAGAAACCTCTGTGAGCAAAAACAAAAACACAATGGGATGAAGTGTGGCCAACGCATGGGCGCTGAGGAAAGACACAGTAACAAATACGATTGGGAAAATGGAGAAGGCCAGATCTATCAGGGCCTTAGAGGACATACCAGGAAGTTTATACTGTTGGATAGAATGGTCTCTTTCAAACTGATAAGGAGAAAAATCTTATACCCCCAAGGGTCTTAGGCCATGATGAAAGGAAACCCTGTGCATGAGATTATTTAAAACATTCCAATTTTTCTTCTATTCTGTACTAGATTGACACTTGTTTTAATGTTCAAAAATAGTTCTTATCGAGTAAAATGGATACTCCAGAATAATATACCACATCTCTCACGAGGCTTCAAGTGCCCTGGAACCCAGAGAAGTGCCCCCAGGATGCATGCAACTCAGTTTGAGGAGAGTTATATTTCACTGGAAGTTTTAAAAGCATTTTTAAAAATGGAATAATTTTAGAAAACCAAGAGACAGCTTAGATTATAAGATTTGGAGTTGGTGAGCTGTGGGAAAATATACAAGATGTCAAGGTGGAAACTCTGTTGGATGTGGTGACTGGTGGAAAATAGGAGTGAAGAAGAATAGTGGGTGAATGAAAAGATATAGGATGGGGGACGAGTCCAAAATCATAGCATGGGTGAAGTTACGTGCACCTCCCTCAAGGACCACATGAAAATTACAACTGAACTATAGAAAAATCAACCTGGATAACCATATCAAGACTAGCTGAAAAGAAGAAGTCTTATAGCCTGGCTGGTGTGGCTCAGTGGTTGAGTGTCAACCTATGAATCAGGAGGTCACTGTTGAATTCCCGATCAGGGTACATGTCCCAGTTGTGGGCCCGATCCCCAGTAGGGAGAGTGCAAGATGTTTCGATCTCTTTCTCCCTCTCCCTTCCTCTCTGAAATCAATAAAAATATATATTTTTTAAAAAGTCTTATAACCAAGGACATACAGAAGCCACACCAAGACTGGTAGAAGGGGTAGAGATGCAAAACAAGTTGGCCCCACAGCCATGTGCTGTGGTTGAGAACCCAGAGGGAATCTCAGCTGCAGACGTCCGCCCTGAGGAACCAGGGGTCTCAGCCCCATGCCAGGCCCCTCATCGTGGAGCACTAGTGCAGGAAGAAGAGCCCACATATCACCTGGCTGTGAAAATGAACAGAGATTCTGTCCACCTGAGTGAGATGGGGGGCTGCTGAAACCCAGGCACCTCTTAAAGGGACCACACACAAAATCTCACTCACAAGCTCTCACCCTGAGCTCCAGCAGAGGAATGGGAACACAGATGGAGTCATGCAGGGAGAGACTGGGTTGTGTAGCTTCAGGGAGAGAGCTGGAGGGACAGCCGCAATGTTTCCTTGTTGAGTCCCTCTGCCACACCACCCCCAGATGCCATCTTTCCTGGGTCGAACACTCCCCTCCATTCAGCATCAGCTTGGAGAGCTACACTAGCTCCACCCTGCCAACTCCCTGAGGCCCAGCCCTGAGAAGTTTGCACTCAGCTGTGGGCTCTGCTAGTGGCAACCAGCCAAGACCCTCAATGCAGTTTTCTTCGAAGACTTTTGGGGTTACCAGACCACCTTGAGAGGTGTCAGAGTCACACAGAGAGAGACTGAGTGGTGAGGCTTCAGTGAGGGAACTTTCCCTGCAGGCACAACACTTACACCATTCCTGTGCTGGGCTCTCCCCACGGCATCAGCCTGGGGAGTTGATGAGCCCCATCCTGCTAAGCCTGGGCCCCTGATCTGGTCATTTTTGAAAAACACTTGAGGAATTTCAGGCAAGTCCAGGGGGTGCCAGAGACACATAGGGAGAGGCTGTAAGGTGAGGGACATTTTCCCCACATACCTGACAGGTGCCACCATCCCTCTGCAGACTCCTCCCTCTATTCGGGAAAATCTCAAACTGTATTAGCCTAATGAACTCTACTGACTCCAAACTGATGACTCCCTGAGACCCCGCCCCATCACAAAGGTCCCCAGGCCCCAAGCAGGTGGTGGTTGGCTTTGCTGTACCCTGAGACTTTTCCTGAGTTTCCTCAGTGCCAGTACTGGCACCAATTTTGAATCTCTGTGAACCTGGTAAACACAACTTGCCCTACCTTGTGACTCATTGCAACTCACATACCACCTGAGGCTTTTTCAGTGGGTGAGCCTAATGGGCAGCAGGCAGATGGCAGCGTATCTCAGGTGCCATGGACCTTTTGCTGACTTGCCCCAAGCCTGGTACTGGAGGCAGCCAGCTTGGTATGCAGCTTGGCCTCTCTCACACACACACCCAGAGCCAGCATAGGCAGCTATGAACCTTGGATCTCTTTGTAGCTCCTAACAGGTAACCCAGAGCTGGTCACAGGCAATGTCTGCATTGACCTGGACCAACGTCCTTCCCAAGAGGCACCAGAACAAACACATCTGGTGGCTGGTTTCACACTACAAGAGGCATACACAGCCATGACCGAGTGGCTCAGTTGATTAGAGCATCGCCATGCACCAAAAAAAGTTGTGGATTCGATTCCCAGGCAGAACACACAGCAAAGTTGTGGGTTCTATCTCCTGTTTGGGGGTGTATGGAAAATAATCAATCAATGTGTGAAGCTCTTGTCTGTGAGTTGTACCCACCTGTAAATATTGTACATAGAGTATCTATGTTGATTGTTGTTTTGTGTCTCTTTGTTGTTTGGTTTAATTTGTTTAAAGACAAGGCACATCCCACTTTGCTAGGGGCCCCAGCTGCTTGTGGCAGGCTGAACCCATGGCAGGGATTGCAGGAACTTCCCAGCAGCTGCCAAGAATTCTTAATCTTGGGGACCCTTCCTGCTCTCCCTCTCAAGGCATCAGCTGCTGGAAACTCTTAGCTAGTGAAAGTTCTTGTCTGTCTGTGATATAACTTGGTTACTGATGTTTTTTGCTGGCTTTCTTCTCTTTGGGGGACTTAGTTTTTGCTCTTCACCATTTTATGAACATAAGGAATCCTCTCTCTGCTGTTTGGGCTGTGTGCCACTCAGAACCAATTTGCTGTGCTGGTTTAGGGTGAGATAAGATTCTAAGGCTAATGTCCCAGTCCATCCTTCTGTGAGTACTCATTCATTCACTGTAGAGTTTTTCTGTTTCTTTTTTTAAGATCTGTTCTTATATGCAAGATTCTATGTTGTTAGTCTACTCAGAAAGAAAAAATATGGGAAATAAAACCTTCTAAACCTCCAAGTCTTTTTCCTAGGAAAATCCAATCTACAGAAGTTCCCTCCAGCAGGCTGCAGAAATAGCAGTGTGTGTGTGTTGAGGGGGACCCCATTTTTGTAAGGAAAAAGAAAAGAAAATAGTACTTTCACATTAAAGCCATTAGAGACTGGTGAATTATCCCTGTTACAAAATTTGCCAAGAAAATGCCTTGGGTAATAATAATTGGCTTTAAAATCTCAAAAGTTGTTAAGGCAAAATAAATATAACTAAAATGAAGGATATATGATAAAGCTTTTTCAATGGTAATTATATATGCCTAAACATAGTTTTTCAGTCTTTAGTAACTTGAAACTCTGGAGTTTGCTGGATTAAATAATAAAAATGATAAAATATCTAGGTATTTTGAAATAACAGGATACTAAAATATTAATCTGAGTTTGCCTTGTATGGAGAATATAGACGATGGATTTGAATCTGTTAATGAATAAGTTTTGTATTTTATTTGAAATATCTCTTAAAATGTGAATGTATTGCTAACCTGAGGAATGTTAATTACTTACAAGTCACCTAAAAATTAAGTTTTCTAAGGGTTAAGAAGTCTAACTAATTGGAAAGAAATTATGGTTTGGTTTAATAGAAGGCATGAGGCATGGAGATGCACTTTGAAGGGGGGAAAAAAGTGGATTCTAAAGCTAGTTATTTATGAAAGTTGTAATATTCTAAAGAAAGGTTTGTGAACGTTGTAGAATGCTTGTAAAGAGAAATGGTGAAAGGAAGTTGTATAAATGAAACAGACCAGTGAGTCAGGAGTAGTAGAATAGGGAAATTGAGATGGTGAAACAGCAATTTGGAGCCATCTAGTAAATCCTAAATTCCCTAAACCAAGGACACTTAAGAGTAAATGATTTGCATTTTGCCTCCCTAACCAGAGGGTAAATAGCTTATATCAACCTACTCAGGGAGACACATAGCAGAAATCCAATTAGTGTCATTTGCTGACCACACCCAAGGACAAATGAAGTTAGAGAATAAACCTTATTTTGGTTAGTCATTTTCTAGTCTGTTAAAAGGGAAAGGATCTTTCCTGTTTTTCTACCCAGGCAGCAAAAGTTCTATAAATTATTAAAATGGTTATATGTTACATTAATCAGGTATTTTTATAAAAAGTCATCATTTTAATCATGGGAACTAAGGTTTGCTAGCCTATGTTTGTGTCTAATACACTTTGATATATGATCTTTTGGTAAAATAAGTTTGATAATCCTTCCAGGGTTTGAATTTTAAGAAACTTTTTCTTGACCTAAAATTGGCTTTAGATCATTCCAGTAGGCTCTGGAATGCCTCAAGTGTTTGTTTTCTCTCTCATGAAGGAAAACTTTCTGCTTAATGTACATGGGAAGCTTAGTCAAATAATAATAACTACATTATGTTTCATTTGTAGCTCTAATTGTTATTCTGGAATATTGTGTTTTTCAGAAAGAACAAGATTTCATGTCATTTGCATTAGTATATAGTAAAGTATCTGGATTTATACAAGTACTGGGAGGAAAAATCGGGAGAAACAAAAATTTGGTTATGGGGCTGAATGAATGGAAAATAATTACATAGTTTTTATAACTTCTGTTGAAAGTATTGCTGGTTCTTAAACTTTTTGTTTTTCAGATATAAGGAAGCATATTTAAAGCAATTTTATAAATTATATATTTCCCTACCTGTCCATCCAGAATCTGGCAATTCTTAATAAGTGGCAATACGTTTCTTTGCATGAATTCAATAAGACCTGTTTCCAATTGTGGCTATAGTAACCAAGACTTTGACTAGAATGTCATGCCTGAGAGAGACATGCCCGGACTCTGGATGTCACCAGAAAGCTTTAAGGAATAAAGCCAATAAGAGCACCTTGGAGAAAGCCTGGTACCTTGCTTGGTCACGTGGCTCATGGCAGCCTTTCCAGGTAAGGAACGAGGGCTGCTTTCCTGAGAGATGGCAAAGAAGGAACCTCAAGACATCATTGCGACCTCAGCTTGAGGAATTCACCCATACCTATGGGTATTGCAGGCAAACCTGATGGCAGCTGGGTGGCTCAGCTTCTTTGCCCTGCGGGGCTAATTAAAGCTTGATTATGAAATTCCAGCAAAGCATATCTTTTTTAAATAGCCTATGTGACCAACTGTTATTCTTTCTAGGTCCATGCAAACAATCAGGCCAAATTGTAACTAGACTTAATACTAAATAAATTAGTCTTAACTTGGCTCTTTAATAAAAATGAGGGTGATTTCAGGGAGAAAAAATGTGTTTCAATAGGGAATTATTATAAGTGAAATGTTTTTTTTTCCTTCCACCAGACTATTTGTCATAATTCTTGCTGTTATAACCTTGGCCCAGTAATACTAAGTTTTATAACACAGTTTGTCTCCACCAGGTTACAAGCCCTACTTGCACTCAGGGAATATCACCTCCAGACACCATTGCCGCCTCCTTCCATGACCAGGCCTCATCATCCCTCTGACAGAGAGCAAGGATCTCTTGGTTCTGAAGGAAAAACTTCGTCCCTCCTCAGCATGAAGCAGTTACAGAATAAAGCACCCCTTTATTCTGAAAGAATTCGGAGCCAAGATCCTTGTGGGGGGATGTGATAGGCAGTTAGACAGATGTGAGCCGAGCAAGGACAATGGGCCTACCGGAGAAGAAATGGATGAGACCTGGAGGCGTGCTTCTCACCACTCCAACTGCTCTGAAGCTGGCAGTGGAGGAAACTATGTAGAACTAACCTTTACATTTGCTGAATAGGAGAATTCTATTGATAATATATAGAATTATTCCATTCATTTTGGGAAGTCATATACAGGGACCTTTATATGTTGGGACCCACTGTCTGGGAAAAGGATGCAAGGATGTTTCCTCTAAAGGTTACTGCAGTAGTTCCCCGTAGCAAATGTCTGACTGTTACTGAGTGTTCTAGTTAGTCTTTCAGTATCTAATAATTATGGTAAGAATTGTTCTGATAATTTCACCCTCCTTTATAGTAAGGGACATAGTAAGCTGCTGGCTGGTTGGTTTCTGATATGTGGATAACTATGTATCCCTCCTAACAGCAACGGGGGACCCTGTTCCTTAGGATGACTGACCATCTTTATGCCTCAGAAACATCGCAGGGTCTGAACCAAAAGAGACTTTTTCAAGGCCGTGGCATCAGACTGCAACGACGATCTCCACCTGGGGAGCCCTGCTGCCTATATTGCTTTGACCATTTTTGTTATGCTGGTAATAGTAGGCTCCCTTAATGCAGAAGTGACCCAGCTGACTTGTAGCACAGTAAAAGCCCTGAATGCCACCTCCAGGGCTGTACATCGGGTAAATCAAGAGCTGAGCCAGGTCAGGGAGGTAGTTCTAGAAAATAGGTAAGCAATAGATTATTTGCTGTTGCAGCATAACCATGGTTGTGAGGAATTTAAAGGAATGTGCTGTTTTAATCTTTCTGACAATTCTCTGTTGATAGAACATATATCCAAGATCCTGCATTGGTGTATTTCATCACTGGGAACTGCTTTCAAGGCAGAAGCAGATGCAGTCCAACAGGATGAGACTTTTCATGTAAAACTAATCTCGTAGATATGAGATGATAGAAATAGCAGTGGGAAAATGTTAGGGGCAAAAATAGAATGTTGGGGACTAGCTACAGTTATGGGAAATATTAATTATGCTCTGTTAACCATGATTGCCTTGTGTTGGTTAAAGAAAGGACATTCTAACCTGGCTGGGAGTTGTGTATCCTGGGACCTGGTAGTCAACCTTTGAATGCAATCCATTCTCATTCAAGAACTGCCTGTTATCATGGAACACAACCTTGTTGCTCAAACAATGGAGCCCCATCCCAACCTCCTACTTCCCCATGCCTATAATCCCTGCTTCCCCTTCTAATTCTTTTCCTACTCTATCTAGGCAGCTGGTTTATGGGGGGCTGCAGAGCAGATTTTTGTGGATGACCTGCTGCTCTCCCATATTGTCAGCAGTATTGGAATAAATGCTCATATATGATTTTTTTTTAAAGTACAAATTGGTATTTACAAAATACTCACTGGGGTATAAAGTACAACAAAGGGAATATATTCAATAATATTGTAATAACTATGAATGGTGCCAGATGGGTACTGGAAATATTGGGGGAACACTTGGTAAAGTATATGATTACCTAACCACTATGCTGTATACTTTAAACTAAAACAAAATAATGTTGTATGTAAACTGTAATTGAAAAATAAGTGTAAGCCCTAACCAGTGTTCTCAGTCGTTAGAGCATTGGCCTGTGAACCAAAAGGTTACAGGTTCAATTCCTAGTCAAGGGCATGTACCAGGATTGCAGGCTGATCCCCAGGCCTGGGTCAGGGCACATACAGGAGACAACCAATGGATGTGTCTCTCTCACATCCATGTTTCTCTCTCTCTCTCCCTCTCCCTCTCTTTCACTCTCTCTAAAAATCAATGGAAAAAAATATCCTCAGGTGAGAATTCAAAAAAACAAAAAACAAAAAAAGGAAGATATAGGATGCTGGCTTCAATCCACTCCTCCACTCGGGTAAGAAATGCAGGAAAATAAAAACAAACACGTGGGGACAGAACAATTAGGTTACGTGTGCAGATGTTAAGTTTCATTGGCTGTGGATCATCTGACAGGAGATGCTTGGAAAGACAATAGGTCTGTGTTTAGGGAAGGTCTATGCTAAAGGTCATCTTTGGGAATCACTGGCCTTGCAGGCAGCGAGAGAACATGTGTGGGGAGAAAGGGTCAAGGAGAGTAACCAATTTACTGGGGCCTCCAGAGTGGGCTGAGGGTCTAGGGGTGAAGCAGATGTTCTTTTCTCCCACAGAATTCAGTTTAATGTACAAGTCAGTATGTCTAGTGGCAATGCCAGGTGTAGACTGGTAAGTGGATGGTCAACTGCAAACTGGGAATACTCAGGTTTGCCAAAAGCAGAGGGTCAAGTAGAGAAGTCATGGAAACTAAGACTAGGAAAAGTACATTGAGGACAGCTCACGAATTACCAAGAAGTTTGGAAGGCAAATGAGAAAGGTCAGAGTTTTATAAGCAGGGTGACACCAGGGCCAGGGCTCTGGGGAGCATTGTCCAATCTGGCTGGGGAAGCATTTTGTGGTAGGGAGACTAGCAACATGAAGGGGAAGCAGTGAGGGCTGGTGCCAGGCAGGAGAAGCATTTAAAATACCTCATGACCCTTATGCCCTGGGCACTAGCTATTCAACACACATGCCAGGCAGGGCACCAGACCGACACAGTATCAGCTAATGCCAGCTGTTTCCTGACAACCAGCAATGGAAAGAGTGGATACAACCCTCTTTCATGATTGATAGACTATAAATAGGAGGTGTAGATGGCCCTTTAATGGTTGTGGTGTAATGTTAACAAACAAAGGAGGAATGATTTCTTGATAAAACATAGCTCCGCCTTTCACATGTGCCTTCATGGGACAAAAGGAAAAAGTCAGGATTCAGACACAGAAAGACCTTGTGTGCTGGGAGAATCTGGGTCACTTAGAAGCACCACTGCCTTCAATTTCCCATCATAAACTTGGCACGTTTCAGTCTATGCACCAGTCACTCTCCACAACTATGGGACCTTCTATCTTACTTTTCCATAGCAGTGAGCTTTTTTTTTTTCTCAAGAAACATCATAAAATATTTTATGAATAAATAAAAATCTAAAGAACAATCTCAAATTTATGAAATGCTGCCAAAATAGCAGTTAAAGTTTAACAACCTATCTGAGGAGTAAAAGAGTCTCAAATAGTTAATTCAGTCTTCCACCCAATAAACTATAGAAAGAAGAGCAAAATAAATGCAAAGCAAGCCGGTGGAAGGAAATCGTGAAGATATGAGTAGAAATTATAGCATTAAGCTAACTCAAACATGTAAAAACAAAAGAAAACAGTCACTTTCCTCTTAGCCCTAAATGCTCATGGAGAGACTTACTGGTGAAGACATTACCATGGGATTCAAGGTTCAGCACATGGCAATGTACCTTGGACAGTAGACCTCCAGAGCCAGGAGAGGCGGGACCCCCATGCTCTGCGGGCCAGGCAGGCTCGCTCTTCACCAAGATGGCTTGGGAAAGGCGGGAGCACGAGTCTCACTCTGCACAGTGGAGGGAGCATGGCACAGCTCTGGAACCACATGTGGGGGTGCATCCAAGTTGCAATCAGAGGTGCCTACGGTGCTTTTGCCACATTCACCTTTTATATCCCCTTCTTCCTAGTCCCAGCAACAAGTAACCCTCCAATTTCCAGAGTGATGGAAAGCCCCATCATAGGGAAGCCCCGCCTCTGCTTGTAATGCCCACCCATGGCACTCTCAGTTCCTCCCAGGGACAACCGGCCATTTTTTAACATCCCTGAATATTGGAGGTCCCTCTTTGTTTAGCTGAAATCCACCTCCCCTAGCTTCTCCCTATAGACACCATTGGAGGGACCAAGAAGCAGTGCAGCTTATAGGTGGTTCCTTCTGAAATGTTTATAGCAGCGGCTTGATGTTGCCAATGCAGTCACAGCGGATGACCCACAAAGACAGAAGGGATACGTGAGGATCCTGCCTGTTGGAGACCCTCAAACGAGCATCGATACTCTCTGTATACCACCTCTGAGCCTTCCCCTTTCAATGTGCTCTGCCCGCCCTAGCAGTTGGTTCCTTGGGTGGGTTGGTGGTGTATGTGTTGGGGGAAATTCTCCCTTCTAATTTCAGCCATTTCTCCTCTTGAACAAACAGGTCACCTTGGCAGAAGGCCAACTCAGACAAACTGCAAACATCGAGTTTGGGGAGGAGGGAATCAGAGCTCATTTATTTCTGCTCATTGGACTTGGCTCAAAAGATGCAAAGCTGACTCTAAGGTCATTTTTTCCACTTTTCTCCTGCTCTACTCCACTCCCTCTCCAGTCACTCCTCCCATCAGAGAAAATTTAAACATCAAGACCACATGGTTTCCTCTTCAGCTTTGCCTTCCCAGATTTCTTTATGCTGTGGAAATGGACCCTACGCCATCCATTGCACAGTACTCCCTTTCCAGATTGAGGGATGTTGTAGGGGTCTCAATCATCTCTCATAACATCTAGGAGATAAATCTTCTAGATCACATATCCTCTTCTAATGTGGTCTAAAACACGTTGCTTTTTACGTATATTCTTCTATCCATTATACAAGTAAGGCTGTTTGTTTCATCAATGACCAAGATTCTTTCTCTATATTGGAGTTTTGTTTTGTTTTTTAATTTGGGTGTATTCCAAACGTAGAGTTATATAAATATGTACTTTACTTACAAGCTTTCTAGAAATTTTTACTTTATTTTTCATCTGGCATATATAAATCTATTCCTATTATTTCTTTTTGTTGTTGTTGATTTCAGAGAGAGGAAGGGAGAGAGAGAGAATGATAGAAACATCAATGATGGGAGAATTATTAATTGGCTGCCTCCTGCATGCCTTCTGCTGGGGATCAAGCCCACAACCCAGGCATATGCCCTGGCCAGAAATCAAACCTCAATGTCCTGGTTTATGGACACTCAACCACAGTCACAACGGCCAGGCTACTTTTTTTAACTTTATTTTTATTATTGGTACTATTGCAAATGTCCCCATTC